TCCACAGCCATAGAGGACAGGATTAGGAGCAATAAAACTGCAGCAGGGGTAATTTAGGCTGGGTATTAGAAGGACCTTTCTAACTAGGGGTCATGATTGACCACAGGATGAACATGAGCCTTCAATGTGATGCTGCTGCTAGTAAAGCGAGCAAGACACTGGCTTCCATCCATCGATGCTTCTCAAGCAAATCCCAGGACATCATCCCCGCACTGTGCTTGGCCTTTGTGACGCCGCCAGGACATCATCCTCGCACTGTGCTTGGCCTTGGTGAGGCCGCAGCTGGAGTACAGCGTCCAGTTTTGGGCCCCACAATTCAAAAAGGACATGGAGAAGTTTGAGAGAGTCCAGAGGAGAGCCACATGCGTGATCAGAGGTCAGAAAAACGGACCTTATGAGAGGCTGAGAGCCATGGGACTCTTCAGCCAGGAAAAGCGCAGGCTCAGGAGTGATCTGATGGCTGCCTATAAAAGTTTATCAGGGGTGTTCACCAGGATCTGGGGGAATGATTGTTCAGAGCTCCCCAGGGATAACAAGGTCAAACGGTCATAAACTTCTCCAAGACCGTTTCAGACTGGACATAAGGAAGAACTTCTTTACTGTCCAAGCTCCCAAGGTCTGAAATAGCAAGCATCTACTTTGAATGCCTTCAAGAGAAATTTGGATGTTTATCTTGCTGGGATCCTATGACCCCCTGCTGACTTTCTGCCCGAGGCAGGGGGCTGGACTCGATCTTTCGAGGACCCTTCCAGCCCTACTGTCTATGAAAATCTATGAAACTCTGAGGGTATTCAAGCATTGGAAACAGGCTACCTAGAGTAGTAGTAGAATCTCCATCCTTAGAAGTTTTTAAGAGCAGGTTAGACAAACACTTGCCTGGGATACATCAATCAGGGAGGGGCTAGACCAGATGCCTATGAGGTCCCTTCCAGCCCTCCTATGATTATAGCAGTACCTAGGGGCCAAGTAAGAACATACAAACACAGGAGCAGACAGACCCTGGCCCAAAGAGCTTGCAAGCTGAACAGATAAATATAAGGGCAGGGAAAGCCAATATCTAACAAGTGTGATGCTACATAGGTATTATATTGGTGCCACAAATTTAAAAATAGTTTCATGGGTGGGGTTGAGTTGGGAGGGATTCTTTTAAATGAGAAAGGGAGCACGTGAAGAGGAGGAAAGGGTCTGAAGGGCAGGTATAAGAATTTTGTTAATTCTTAATAGTATCATGTTTTACAGCTACAGTTTAACTTCAAAGTTCTCCCCATTTTACAAATAGGGAAATTATGGCACAGAGAGTAATCTGCCTAAGGTCCTGAGAATCAGCTACCAGAACAATTTCCCCTACCACTAAGCACCTCAGAAATGCCAGCTTTGACTGGGGAAGGAGGAGTGAAAGTGGGGGGAACAACACCCTCAAATGTTTTTAAAACCTTATCTGAATGGATGGATGTATGGAAAACAAGGTACAATTTATTTTCAATATATTGAGAGGTCCAAATATTAACACAGAGGTTCACTTGTGCAGAGCTGTCTCAGAAGAAAATCCAGACAGTATCTTAACTTTATAAAAAGTTATCAGATACAGAAATGAGATAAAACAACCAGTTTTTACATCTACCACCAATCCAGGGGTCATATCTAGACACAGAACAGCTATAAAACACCAGACAGTTCCCTATATCTGAAGATCTATCAACAGGAAAACATACCACAGAGAGAGTCAGTTACCAAATGCCATAGTTACTCAAATCCAAGAATGGTTTTTCTCCTCCATTTAACACAGGGAAAAGTCCTTTGTCTTGGATTCCAGTACAAGCAGAGGGGCAAACAGCTATTGCAGCTCTGACTCCAGCCTTGACCCAAAGTTAAAAGTCAAAGCTAAAGTGATTGCCTGCCCTGCAGCCATCTTCTTGCTACCACTCCCCAGTTTATGCTCTGGCTCTCCTTCAACCTGGGGCACGGAGTCCTCCTCCAAAAACTTAAAAACTGGGGCATGGAGAATACTGTTGCTCCAACACCAGCCCAACAACCCAGCAACAGTTGCAACAGCTCCAGCACTGGCCCTGGCTACTGTGGGGCAAGGCTGGGGTCACAGCAAATTTTCTATGCATAGAATCTAATGATTTGGGGGTCGTTTTAAATTTAAAACGTTATTTTGGATTTGGGTAAACTGGGCCACAGAGCAGCTCTTCCTATTCCCCTTTAAGTTTTGGGAAGTGCTGAATATCACAAAGCAACAGCAGATTATTTTTCACCTGTAGCATCCAGATAAAGGACTGGTCAATATTAGGCACTGGATTCAATTAAAACAGTGAAAGTTTCCATTCTGGCAGTGCTTACGCCAAGTGAAGTAGCTAGGATTTGATAAGCTAATGCACCTAGAGGACACTGAATGGATAGATCTGTCTGCCACAGAAAAACACCATATGGCGAATTGTATTTTAGAGCTTTTGTACTGCTAAAAAGATTAAAATGGTCATTCTATAGTGCTATGAGCTCTTTCTGGGATGGATAACTATTTACTTTTTCAATTCTAACTTCTCCAGGATGAATTAAACAGTACAGAGCCCAACTGGTTCTAAACAGTGAGGTAACATTTACATAGCCTACAGCAGAAAGAATGCAAAATACTATGGAGGACACTTGGAGCATAATTAACATTAAAACATTTGCTTTCCAGCTACACCCTCATTATAAGGTGTAGAATCATTCACAGTTTGCTACCCCACAATATTTTGCCAGTACTGTTAGCCCCTTCATGCACAGGATTTTTATTTTTATTTTTTTTAAAGCAAAGCAAATCAATGAACTGCTTCTGGAATATTTAGTTTCAGTTCTGCAGATCACCTTTGCCCTCTATTATCTCTTGCAGATCATATATGAAAGTAAGGGGATTTGAGTGTTAATTTTCTGGGTTGTATAAGTATGCGTGAAGACAGACTTTTCTGGCAGCGTCAGAGTGCAGATCTTTCTCCAAGCTTCAATGGGCCTTCTACAAGCAGACATGGTGGCACTGATGAACTGAAACTGGCCAATTTAAGGCCTGTGAGAGGACAGAAAAGGATCAAAAGGGCATTTTGGTTTTCCTCAAGGCTTAAGAGGGTGAAGTGCTTGCCATTAGATGTACTTGAAGACAAATACATTTATCTACAACAAGGGCATAAAAAGAAAAACGAAAAAAAAAAAAAGTTTTCCAAAGGTAGGAGGGAGGGAGAGACTGTCACATGCACTCTAGGACTTCCAGCTGTATGTCTACTGTGTGGAATATTATAACGAACAGCTGAGGAAAAGCACACAGCTCTTACCAGACAGCTGTGAAGCATGTAGAAAATTAAAGCTTTTTCCATTCACTTTTGCTTTCCTAACTCCAGCATAAGCAACTTAAGATACCTGCAGGCAAGGCAGCCACGTAGATCATGTAAGTGGAACTGGGTATTTGCCAAAGCCCATTGATTTCAACATTAAAGGCACTGCTTGTGTCAGTTTAAGCATGACAACCAATTTATGTGGAAAATGGCCTGCTCCCTGATGTCTGCACATTTTTAGACTGGTTACTTTGGTACTCATCTAATACCCCCAAACAGCTGCCTTAAATTTGACAGAAGATAGTAAGTTTCATGGCTGATAGTGATAATAGCACAGCACTGACAGCAGCCGAAATGAGCTAGAAGGATTAATTTGTCCCCCCAGTCAGACTGGAATGGATCCTGGGATTTTTTCCCCTCTCTCTTTTACATGGGTATTTTCCTTAGGATCTTTTAAGCATATATTAGCTAACTACTTCCTTGTAGCTGTAGTGGTAGGACATTGGCAGTGCCCTTATCTCCCTTGCTTTTATCTACAGCATATTATGGGGTGTTCTGGATAGTGTTCTTGTACCGTGGGGGAGGGTATGCAGTGAAGATTTAGAGATTCCTTTGGTTAACAAGTGCCTGAAGATGCAGAGGATGGGGCTCAATGGCCCTGGAAATATGGCAAATACAGGTTGGAGGAGGAGCGAGAGAACTGGGATAAAAATCCTGGTTCTACTGCTATTAATGGAAGTTTTGCCATCAACTTCAACAAGTGACATGTATGGGCATTTATACATGTGCTCTAGCAGTGGAGGATTGGGGGGGGAGGGAGGGGGGAACAGGTACTTTAAAGGTAATGGTGTAATTCACCATAATTATACCAAAAGTAATGGTATAATTCATTAGAGCAGCTCTGAGAGCTAATTAAAGCAGCCAGAGCATCTCATGTATTAGTGTCCCTGAGCTTCAAAATGGTAGCAGGGGTGCTTTATTCAAAGCTTGTCAAACGAGCTTCAGATAAAGTGCCTCTGCTGCCATTTTGAAGCTCAGGGACATTGATACACAAGACGCAGAAGGCTGCTGGAACATAGTAAGTGTCATGCTCCAGCAGACTCAATTAAATCAAGTCTGCTCTGACACGGTGGAATTAAGCACATCAGCCTCCTTGCTTATGTATACGGACCCTCTAGGACCACCATTCCATCTCCAGTATTTAGACTGAATTATTACAGATTGCACTACATCCCCAGTTTAGTTTTTTTTGTGCAACATTTCAGCTGTTAATAGTAGATTTATTTCCTTTTAAGTAATGGTAATCCTTAGGTTCCAGGGATTATCTGAAAGTTGCATTAAACTAATGCCATGTATGACATGGCACATTCACTTAATACAGTTAAAAATTATATATATTTTCAGATATTTAGTTCTGAACCAAACTTCACCTATACTATAACAGGTACTAGAAGGGTTTTCTCTGCATCCTTGTCATGTTCATGTCTGAACAGACAGAGATCAGACTACTCTGTTGTAGTTAAATAGCAAGTTATCTGATCATGTCAATGAAAGATGAACCATGTAACCTAGTCTACCTTCAGAAGGTTTCTTGTGGAAACACTACAGGCGATACTGTTCTATGGATGATTACAAGCTGTTGTGCGATAAAGAAGATTAGTTGTTTCAACTGTACAAATTATCTCAGCTTACCCGTTCTATCTCTTGAAGGTACAGAAGGGCAATATCTCCAGCCTTCTCGTAGCACGTAATGATGTCTTGTTCACGATCCACATGGAGGTTACTAGCTGAAGAGGAAATTGGCAGTTTCTCTAGACAAAGACCTGAAAATAAAAAGAAAGTTTTAAAAACAGACACTGGTTATCAGTGTCAGAGGACTCTCTGGAGACAACCATAACAAGCCCACCTTTGACAACAGAGAGAGGAAGGAAAAAAACAGAGGAGAATAAAATGTGGTAAAGTACAGCATATTGTAGTATCTGTTGCAATATCTAAGAAAATGCAATGCTTTCACAGTTCTACAAGTGTTTTGACAGCCAAGCATAAAAATGCCTATTTCAGTTCCATAACAGTTTTAAGTCATTGAACAGACAGCCTCTTTCCAGAAACTATCACAGAAGGCACCACAGCAGTCAAGGGAAGACAAGATGCTCAAACTGATATCACTAGATTTAAAATGTCTGAGCAAGGCACGACTATATGCAGGGACAGTGAAATGTTTTTGAAGAAAATTAAATCTTCCTAAATTCTATATTTAACTACTTTGTTCTTGTAGTTGAAGCCCTTTTCCTCCTTGCTTTCCTTTTTTAAAAACCACTGCCCCGCTATCCTGTACCCAAGGACAGGTGCCTTCAGTCAAATGCAAGTACTAACAGATCCAAGCACATCCGACCGGGATGTCCTTTTCATCTGATGGACCAAAAGCCTCACATTCAAAAACTTAAAACAAGAGCTGTAAGACTACTTTCCAAGGACCCCTGACAAGCTTGGCATGGTGGGCAGAGCCACAGCACAAGGTACTGCAGCGATTCTGGTCAGTGGTCAGAAGTTCACAGGACAGCCTCAAAAAAATGCTGCACCAGGTAGGCACCCAGGACCATCTAAGCTATGCAAAAATAGGCTTGATGCCACTTTAATCCTTGCCTGGAAGTTCTGTACCATGTCTCATATATTTTAAAGAGACATCTATTGTTTTGCATATACAACTATTCAGAGACAAAAAGGAACCCTGTTTCACAAATGTCAGCTATACAAGAGTTAGGAAGTTATCCACTGCTTCTAGATGAGGAGGCTATATTTTTTAAGCAGCTAATTTGCTGAATGTAAGAGCCATTCAATAACGCCTGCTACACTCAGATATGATCTGTTTAGGAAATGGTAACCATTATGATTCTCTTCCTGGTATAATCCAACCTAAATGTTAATGCTGTATTTTTAAAATTACTGTTCAGGCCATATTTAAGGCTGAATAATGCTGCTACCAGATATATAAGTACAGGTCATCTATTGATTTACACCTAATATTAAATGACGTAAGGAAAAGTGATTGTACATGCATAAAATTATTGTAAAAAAATGAAAGCGTTACTTTATCTAGATGCCTCACCTGCACTGTCACCATCAAAGTATCAAAAATATACATATCCATCTTATGCTAGACTTTTCAAACATGTCCAGATAACACAACTTGCCTTCAGATGTTACACTTAGTCATGTTTTCAGAACAACTACAGTTTTGCCAACAGTATGAAGTGCTAGTTCTCCTTACCTCTTTAAAAAAAAGAAGTTCACCAATATAAAACATTCCATTCCAAAATAAATTAGCCTCTTCAAAATTTCTCATGGCACTTTGCTTTGCCTGGAGAAGTAGAATGCTTAAGTGATCCTGCAAAAGCTAAAAGCCTTCAAGAAGGTCAGCAACCAAAACCACAAACAATTGTGTAAAACAAAACAGAAGCCTACCATTCTGTAATGATTAGCTATATTCAGAGCTAGCCTAAGCCAACAATTAAAGAGGCAGTACCCAACCTTTAAAATATCTTGATATAACAAAGCTTGAGGAAAACCTTGACTTCTGAGGAGAGGCTGATGGAACTGGGATTATTTAGCCTGGAGGAGAGAAGACTGAGAAGGGATTTACTGGCAGCCTTCAACTACCTGAAGGTGGTTCCAAAGAGGATGGAGCTGGACTGTTCTCAGTGGTGACAGATAACAGAACAAGGAGCAATGGTCTCAAGTTGCAGAAAGGGAAGCTTAGGTTAGATATTAAGAAAAAAAGTTTCTCACAAGGAGGGTAGTAGAGCACTGAAACAGGTTATCCAAAGATCTTGTGTAATCTCCATTGTTGGAGGTTTTTAAGACCTGGCTAGACAAAGCCTTGGCTGGGATGATCTAGTTGGTGTTGGCCCTGCTTTGAGCAGGCGGTTAGACTAGAACTTCTGAGGTCCCTTCTGAGCCTAATTTTCTAGGATTCTATGGAAAAAAGTTACTAGTCACTAATGTATTGGAGAATGGAAACTGGTAGTCCAAGGTAAATGCAATACAGGAGCTATGCTCCTAGTATAAGTCTAGCTCCAATACACCCACCTACTGGCTGGCATTTAAGTAGGTGCTATCTCTGGCCTGCACCTTAGGTCTGCATCTTTTCAATCCATCATTGATTACAAGTCACCTAAAAATTACCCCACTCAAGTTGCCAGATTTTCCCCATCCAGACACTTAGCAGCTGTAGAGACATCCTTCTTTTTTCTAATGCCCCTCTTCTTTTTGGAGGAGGGGGGTCCCCTTTCACCACAAAGAGCTCCAATGTCTGCCTTTACTTAGTAGCGGTTGCATGTGCAACAGAAGACACCATTGCTGTCTGAAGCCTGGGATAAACAACGCTGATGATATACATTTGTTCTACCTATTTCTTTATCTTTAAAATAAAAGGGTAAATATTTTTTTAATGCAAATTTACAAATCCTGCAGAAACAAGTGTCTGACAATCCCATACTCACCAGAAAAAGCTGCCCAGTTACTACAGGTGAATGAACGAATGGATTGCTCAAGACCTGAACAGGCACCTCCCATGCAGAACTGTCACCCATTCTGCATGATTTTGAATACACGTTCTCCCACAGACATTTAGCCCAATAAGCTGAAAGTGTTCTTAATTTAAAGAGAATGTTAGTAATTTCTATTTGGCAAATTCTCCTATATGCTACCACAGAAAAATAATAGTCTTAGCTCAAACCTAAGGGGAAAAAAGAATTGGTAGATTGCCAAACCAGCAGGGTTGTCCAGTGGGTCTGAGCATATCCCACCCATCCAAGTCCTCTGACACTTCAGAGCCAGCAGTTCTCCCTTGAGGCTGCTCTGGACTCTTTCCTAGTACTCACTTACAACTAGCAGAGAACAGAGGTCTTGGTCACAGGCACTGGGGATAGTCCAAGAACACATCAGGGGGCTTGAATGATAAACACACTCAGTCCCAGTCTCCTAAGAACCCACTGCTGTAACAGCCTGAACGTCTCATGCTTTCATCATGTGGTCCAGTTCTGAACAAAAAATATTCTCTTCTAGACTACTTTTTTTTTTTTATTATATCGGAACACAGAACTGCTGTTTCATAAACAATTTCTCTAATGAAAGACAAAGATGCCTACAGGTGATATTAAAATATGTAGTACTTTGATTTGGACAGAAACTTGGGACTGGAAAAGGTCTCTTGGTTCAGCCTTCTGCAGTTATGTGTAAATATTAACGCTCCACTGCAAACCCTCACATTCAACTATACGGCACCATGTCAGAAAGACATTCTAACATGCCTCAGGTACAAGAGAAGAGAGGGCACTGCTAGTGTCCTGCTACAGCAATAACAAGGAAATAGTTGGTTAATGTGTGCTTGGAGGATCCTAGGAAAGGAACCAAGGCAAACCACCATTTGGACAGCCCTGCCCTAGGACATGGGATTAGACACCTTCTACGCTACAAGAGTTAACCTTATACTGCAACTTGGAGACTGAAGACAATTCACACGTGACATATCAGCCTGTGAGTGCAAACTCCCTATCCTATCATACCAGCCCTGCTATAAAAACGTATCCAATTCTGGTCTCAGACAGATTCAGGTTCCTTGTCCTTGACTACTTTGCCTGGAAAGCCATGGAGAAAATTCTCACCTCATAACCTGTATCTTCTTCTAATTTCCAATCTAAGATTCATCCGTAGCCAATCTGTGGATATTTCACTTTGTTCCACAAATGTTTTTTCCAACCTAAAAAACCCTTTCCCAGAACTACTTACGAGCAACTGCTCATATTCAGGGATCCAGGTTTTCTCTGTTTAAAATTGTAAATTCTCTGATCAAACCCCCCAAATTCTCTGGCTAAAACTACAACATCCATGATTAAAATGAAACACGGATATAGATATATATATATATATAGATATATATATATATAAAATTCTCTGGCTAAAACTACAACATCCATGATTAAAATGACACACACACACACATATCCGTGTTTCATTTTAATCATGGATGTTGTAGTTTTAGCCAGAGAATTTGTGGGGTCTATGTGTGTACACACACACACACACACCAGTTGAACACAACATTATATATTTACAATTTTAAAGCAATGTGGAAGCCTACCAGTGCCTCAATCATTATAGTGAAATACATTCTAATACCTATAACATTTTGGCATTTGATTTTGGGTTTTTTTTTTTGTTTTTTTTTTATCATGGAAGAAAAACAGAGCTCCCCCTGCCCCCTTTGCTCACCAGAACATGGGTCCAGCTGCAGCTGTCTCCACGCACTGCTTTGTGATGCTGAGCAGCCCTGATATGCTGGTGCCCTGCCCCTGCCATTTCCCCTCACTCCCTACCCACACCCCCACCAGCCCTGTTGGTGCCCCTCACTCCCTACCTGCAGGCCCCCACTCCCCTGTCCTGCAAAGGGGGCCTCCCTCGCTGCCAGGGCTACAGGGCCAGGGACCCAGGTCAGCAGCCCCCTGCAGCAGTGCCCGACTTAAAGCTTGCTTCCACTCATGGAAGGCAGCAGCTGCTGCAGCCCTAGTGGGGAGTAGAGCGTGAAGCCCAGCTCCCCCTCCCCCATGGACAGCGCGGCTGGAGTGAAGCCCAACAGGGGAGCCCTTGGGCTCCCCACCCTGCTGCCCTGCCCCTGGGGCCTGGTGACCCAGCGAGCAGGACCTCGCCCAGCAGGACAGAGTGGGGTGGGGAAGCCACCACCGCGAGCCCTGCACTGCCATGGCAAGGCACCCCCTGCCCATCTGGCAGCAGCAAGGGGCACAACTCTGCGCTACTACCCCCACTG